CGCTGGGTGGCTGGTGTCTCCCTTAGGGATAAGGTGAGAAGTTCGGTCATCAGGGAGTGACTCGGAGTTGAGCCGCTCCTCCTTCGCGTCGAAAGGAGCCAGTTGAGGTGGTTCAGGCACCTAGTAAGGATGTCACCTGGGCGCCTCCCTAGGGAGGTGTTCCAGGCACGTCCAGCTGGGCAGAGACCAAGGGGTAGACCTAGGACCAGGTGGAGGGATTATATATCTTCCCTGGCCTGGGAGCGCCTTGGGATCCCCCAGTCAGAGCTGGTTGATGTGGCCAGGGAAAGGAACGTTTGGGGCTCTCTGCTGGAACTGCTACCCCCACGACCCGACCACGGATAAATGGGAGAAGATGGATGGATGGATGGATGGATGGATGAAGACTAAAAATACAATTTAACAGAGTAAAAGGCAAGCGGAGTATGACTATGTTTTAAATGATTATATGATTATTTGACAAGACGGTTAGAACCTTTTTTTTGGTTAGACAAACATACAGTTTTTGTAAGAGATCAATGGTAAAAGGTCAAATGTACCTATTGTCAGGGGTGCACATAACCTTTTTGCCCTGGTTCTCAAAGAAGCACCTGGAGATGTTGCTTGGTGCGCAACCTTAAAATGAAATAAACCGGATCTTTTGAGGGGTACTTTACTTTATGAACGGGGGGGGGGGAGGAGGAGGAGGTGCGCTAGTGAGCACGCAGCAGGGTTACTGTGCGGAGTGCATAAAGCAGACCCTTCACGCGATAGCGAGGGGTAGAGCAAGGGATCACAGATGCCGTCGTGCTCGCGGATTTAAAAAATCAAACCTAATAGCTCGCAAACTATACTTTGGCGGCCGTTAATATACTTGGGTGGCCCGCCCAATTAAAGTCTATGTGGGAAACCCTGCTATCTTACCAGTTCATATGCAACTCGCAAATCTCTCTGTCTCTCTCTGCGCAAATGCGCCTTTTTTCAAATGATCCAGTGCTCCTTTTTTGGCGGAGGGTGCACATGCGCACCAGTTATGTGCAGCCCTGCCTATTGTCCTTACTTTGCGTTATTGTCCCCCAGAGAAAAATGTGCATTGCAGTCACATAGAACCTAGAACAAACGGATACATAGGCAGAACTCATGTAAAAGAAAAACTAATCAAATGCATAAAGTGAGTGTCCAATCACAAAAAACATCACAATCAGACCCAGATGTTACATATATACTTATCATCAGTTGGGTCAATGTGAACATTTATGTTCGGTGGCCTGAGTAATAAATAGTGTCTCTCAAATGCTTTGGACAAGTTCAACACTGGCTGAACAACATTTGCTTACAGTTAAACGTAAAAAAAAAAAATTATGCATGATGTTCAGTCAACGACCAGTCAAAATCGAAGGATTAGAAATTGCTCTCTTACAGAAGATACAAGACCGATGAGGCAGTTTAGCTTAACCACTTAAAATATTTGTTTCAACCTATTTATGTCGCCTGTTGAGAGATTAACAAACCAAGTAGTAATAGAGAAGTGACGCGTAAACGACCATGGAGAGATAAGAACACTAGAAGTTTATAACACATAAATACAGTCAACTTTTTGAGAAGAATTGCAAAGAGTATCCTGTGCGAGTGGGGATCATTTTTAAATAATCGGTTTAGAAAGAGATGGTTTCAGGTCCGTCTGACTGCTTGTGTTTCTTGATCCGGCTTTTTAGTGTCAGCATTTGTACCCAGAACTCGGATATTAACTTGGTGGGAAAAATGTGACTATGGATAAAACTGTGAAAATAAGTGAAGTTGTTATTATACTGACTAATACATGATGCATACATTTGTTCCTTTTGGTTTTTCTATTTCAATAGAGATATAAGTTGTAATGTGTTTTAATATCATTATCTCTTTCTGTCTGTCAGTCCTCTGTGGGAGATGGTTCAAGAAGGCATCGATCTAAAGAGCATCAAGTGGACACAGCACTAGACTCCTCCCACTTCCTCTTTATTTCCTGGCAGACGTCGATGGCAATTGATTTCCAGGGAAATCTGGGAATGCACTAGCTTTCCTTCCCGTACACAAACACGCACAAACTTCCTGTCCGACTTGAAGTCTGTTTGTACCTGTAGCTCTGTGGCTGCGTAGAAATACCTCTCGTTGCTGTCAGAAGATGTTATTTTTGGAGAGTTTTTGTGGCAGCCTCTGCTTGTTGTGTCGTTCTGTAACACCTGAGTCCTGTATCACAAAGTCTGTTATCTTGTCTGGCTCTCTTTGGGATACCTAGCTTCACTTTCAGTTATCTCTGGGTTTCATAACCCAGCTGTGAGCATGTTGAAATTAAGAAAACCACCTACTTACAGCCTGTTAAATTAAATTAAATCAAAACCATGAAGTCATTGATATAACATCAACATTAGACAATAGAAAACAAAAACGGACACATACATAAGCCATGTGAGTTGAGACAAATAAGTAGTAAGAACAACAATTTAAATGCAACCAACTAATAATTGTTATTAAGCCTTGCCAAAAAATAACATGAAACCAGTGAGAAAATAATTAAGTCCAACAGTTGACTGTAAAAAAAAAAAAAGAGAAGGAAACACCAATAAAGGAAATGAGAATACAATTTAAATGATGACTGCCAACCAGAATATGGAGGCAGCAGCATGTGGTTTTAAGTGAGGTAGACTATATAATGGCTAGAATAAATTAAGAAGCTGTTGATGGATTAATATTAAAATTATGAAAGGAAGGCTGTGTTAATCATTGTGGGACTCTGCTTGTTCCCCATTTTCCCTGTAATGTGATTGGTCGGTTTTGATCTACTTGAAGTGAACTTGCTCTAAGGTCTGTTAGCATTGAAGGCCATGTTAGGAAAAGGGATCTAACATGATTGATTGTGAGCCAGTTTTGTTACACCAGAAACGTCTCGTAGACAGCAGCCTCGCTTTGTGATACAGGCTCTTGAAAAGGTGTTAAGCAGAAATACAGTAGGAACGATGATGGGCTGTGTACTTCAGTGAGGCTGGGGTCTGTAACTGAACCGTCAGGACAGAAATGTACTGAGCTGTCTAAATATTTAATGCTTCACTTGTTATTTTTTAGTCAAGAATATATTTGATGATTCACATATTGTCTCCTGCTCTGTTCTCATGTAATAGACTCTCCTCTTTGTCTCAGAACTCACATTACAGTTATTTTATAATTAGATCTTTCCAGTATTAAATAAAAGGTGTTGTTATGTAAGTTTATCAGCAGTCTTCACAGTGTTAAGAGCTGCAATTTGATTTTGTGTTAATGTCTGGAACACTCTACAAGACTGTAGCCTTACATTTTCTTAAACAACTGATTTTTGAGAAACAATGACAGAAACACTGAGATTAATTAGTATGGTTGTGATGGGAATCTGTAGGTGATCCTGAAAATATACAACCAAACTGGATTAAAAAGGATTTAAAAAGACTTGTATTGTATTCCTGAAATATTTAAACTCTGTCTACTGTCTTCTAGTGTTACTTTTATCATATACATTATTTTCCAATAAAGTTCTGCTTTTTGGTTATGCAATAAACTTTTGTTATCAGGGTGTTACATACTTACATCCATTACTGAGGTTTATTTGGTCTGGATAACAAGAATCCTGATAAACACAATACAAAAATAGGGACAATAATGCATAAAATACAATAAATCTTTGTAAATAGCACATGCTTTATTAATAATACTACATAACTTGTATGTGTTGTTAGATATCAACGTATAACAGCGTATAGGAAGGTGTGTGGCGCAGTGGATAGAGCCTTGATGTTGGGATCAGGGGGTCACAGGTTCAAACCCCACAGCAGTCAGCATGTCATTGTGTCCCTGGGCAAGACACTTCACCCCAAATTGCTCCTGTGGGGATTGCCCACAGTATTGAGTATGTACGTCGCTTTGGATAAAAGCGTCTAACAAGTAACATGTAATAATAACATGTAATAACTACAGATGCAGAAGCAATTACCTATTTTTTAACTATATTTATTTCACTTCATAATATACAACTAAGTAGTTGTTATATCATACTGAATACAACATCGTTTCCATCACATATTTAGAGAAAATGCATGTTTGGATAAACAACAAATCAGGGGAATGTATCGTTTATTATATATTTGACTCCCTCTTCAGGCTACAGGGGGCGATTTTGCTGAGACGTCTACACTTGCCATAGTCTCGCGTCAACATCACGTCTAGTATCGCGGTGTTTGAGCCGACATTTCATGCAGCAGCCTACGGAGCAGAGAGGAGAGAAGAAAAGAGCTCCGTTCATGAGTTAAACCTCAGTGTGTTTGTTGACAAATTTCTCGGTAAGAATCAAGCAGCGTCAGTCCGCTCTGCACTCACACCAGGAGCCGAGCCGCTCAAAGCTGCTCGATGCTCCGGTCCAACACATACATACACAAAGCAGAATTCACAACAAGCTAGGTAGCTAACGATGCGTTAGCTTAGCTAAGCTAAATTAGCTTCATTCAGTATTTCTGCTGGGAATTAGCTAGTTAGATATCACTGTTCGAATCTTGCTGTCTAATTTTATTGTCGGGTATTTAATGACTGCTTATTAATGTTTTGGCAGGTTGGTTTAAAAAGCTGGTGTGTGAATTTGAGCTCTCAATTTTAGTGTCTGAGGTCAGTTTTTTGTCGTGTTTCACTGCAGATTACAAGCCACACCCACATGGCCATGACGTTACCTCATAGAGTAGTGAAGTCCCGCCCTCCGGTTTCCCTCATGGGACCTTATTTCGTAAAGAATATGCACTGTGGTCAACTTTGAGAGACGAAGCATTTTTGATCCTGTTTGAATTGTGCCATACATTTCATACATGATATTGGTCCATTTAATAGATTATTATTCAACCTAATATATGTAGCTAACACGCTAGCTAGGCAGACCCCCAGGAAGTGAGCCAGACGTTAAAGAACATCTTCGTAGTGGCCACACGGTAGTACTGCAACGTCTTTGTTGTTCTTTGACGTCATTGGTCATAATAATCCTTAAATTGACTAACATTAGGATGAAACCTTAACAAATCAGCATTCTTTCTTGAGCTATTCAACTTACGAGTACGAACACTTCATAAACCCTTATTTAAATTATTAGGTCCTTAACTTGTAAAATATGTTACATGTCATTCATTTAGTAAAAATAAGTAATGTATTAATGCCTTAGGTCAGATGCATATTTTTTTCCAAAATAGAATCCCATGATGGTCTACTGGAGGTGGCTGGACTTTCTGCTAAAACTTTTGATATGAGTTGGTTCAAGATGAGTGATGGTTGTTATCGAGACAGTGAGGATCTGTTGCAGTTTGCTACAATACTAGGAGACCCTTTGGCATATCAATTACTACCTGCATACTACATACTGCTTACTGAATGACGATTAAGTATGCTGACAGATTGTCTTTACATCGCGACTGAATCGATTGCAACATTACTTGTCCAAAATGCATTGACTAAACATTTTCTGACAAATGTAAATCGGCATTACCTCTTTCACTCATGCAACATTTGTTGTATTATTTAAACATTTTTAGAACAATATATTTATCGTTCTTGGTGTGGATGGCCCTCAACTCTTATCTGATCGTCAAAGGCTCCAAAAATGGTTAATGCACTAGTGGAATTCTACAAGAATTATGCTTTGAGACTGGTGGTTTAATTATATCTATGCTTTTTTTTTAATTCTTTTTTTAACCTCCATTGAGAATGTCCCTTAATAATTAGCGAAATAAAAGTATTTCCTAGTTTTTCAATCAAGTTTCTTTTTAAATGACTTCATTTGATAAATTATTAGATAAATGTTACAGGTCCAATATCTCCGTCACACTTATGTAAAGAGAGGAATACCTGAAAGGGGCTGTAGTTAAGTCAGGGAATGATAAGAGGGATATGTGCTGTACTTCATTTGTTTCCGTTTCTGTCACGTACAAGTCAGTTGAGTTCTATAAGTAAACCAGGAATTTTAATTGTCACTTCGGAAATAAATGAATGGATATGGTGTGCCTGTGTACTCCAGCTGCAACACAATGGACCCTCTATCTATGTCCTGTCTGTTTGAGATTTGGGCTTGGAATTGGCTGATGTATGGATTGCTGGGTTTTAAGTTTGGCGCAACATGTGGACAGTGTTATATTCTAGCTTTAAACTGAGAAATCAAGGCAGTGCGTCTCAATGTAATCCTGAATTGGATTTGCTTTATTGAAATGTCTCTCTGGTTTTCTGGCTATTTGAAGGAAGTTCATTTATGTCTTCAATCCACTCTATTGTTTTTCTTGATTTATGTGAGTGCGAACTGCAGCCTTAGTTCAACTTTTTACCTTTCTCTGGTTGTTTCTGATACTATTAGCTGTTGCTGTTTCCTCTCCTACTGTGTTTTCTCTATTGCTGCCATTGATGTTTCAAACAGACTGTTTGCAGGTTATTACCCAGAGGGAGAACTTCCTGAGTACTGAAAGTCCAGGTTGAAATTTCAAAAAAGGTGTCAGGAAAACTGATAATCATGTGATGGTGTTGGTGTGAAGTGTCTGTTTGAGGCTGACTTCTAAAATCATTAATGGTGTCAATGTCTGGCATCTTGTCTAGAGCTGTGGTAGGCTGTAGGTGGCTGCCACACACCCCGTTCAGGATTTGTATATTTAATATCAACAATTTTTACCAGCAACTTTAATGATATTCATCGTGCCTGAAATATCGGTTGTCCATCCAGAATGGTCCTGGATCAGGATTGTTTCGGAGAGCTGAAAATGTGTCTGAGTATTGTGAAAGCAGCAAACATGTTTTTGTCAGTCTTGCTTTTAACCTAACTTCTGTTTGCTTTCTATTCTGACCAGCTGCTGTCTTTAGTGCTTTGCTGTCAATCAGGTGCTGATGTTGCTCTTTCGAACATAATGCTAATGTTGCTGTGGTTGATATAATGCTAATGTTGCTTTGGTTGACACGATGCTACTGTTGCTCTCGTTAACGCTTTGTTCCTGACTGTCTGACATCGCTTTTGTGAAGATGTTGGTGGTTCTTATTGCTCTGGTTGAAAAAGGTACTGCTGCTGCCTGTGTTAACATGATATTTCATTAACAAAGTTTTGCAGATTTGCTGGTTGATATCTTGCTCTTTTGGCAACAAGTTGCTAAAGTGCTGCTTGCTAATTTGGTGTTGCTTGAGAATGAAGGCAGTAGAAGGATCTTTCCGAACCTCAGTCTAGTATTTTCTGGTGGTTTTTGCAGGGTATAGCTTGCTGACTGCAGCTCGGCATGTTTAATCTCCTGTTTATTACTTGACCATTTTAGATGACGGTTTTAGTCTGTTTTGATATTTTGTGTAGCATGCCAGCTTAGGTAATGTTGGAGTTTGGTTTTGAAAAGGTGTGACTCAGGTTGAGTGGCTTCATTGATCTAAGATTTGTTTCCCTACTGCTAGTTTTAAAAATCGGTTGGTTGTTATGCTTTAGTTTCTACTTTTTTGTTGTGTTTTGTTGCGGTAAATTACAACCTTTTTAATAATAATAATAAATGGTATTTTTATAGCGCTTTTCTCGAACCCAAAGATGACCCAAAGGCTGATACTATACACCACACAGTAATTTCTCAATTTTTTCTTTATTCAGATGTAAATGTATTAAGGACAACCTGCCAACCAAAAACATGGAACAACAATACTTAATCTGACCATCTCATTTATTTTAAGTGTCTGTTTTAACAGTGAAAATATACACACTCTTGTTGCATTGGTTTAGTTAGCTGGAAGTTGCATGAGATACATGAAGGTTGACAGTTGACAACACAGAATATTTCAAAGTCCAAACAACATGTTTGCATTGCATGCTAGACAACAGTAAGGATACATTTAAAGTGCTACATTTCAAAAAGTTAGAAACAAGAACTGATGCCATGTTCACTCTTAGGATTGCAAAGTGTGCATCACATGCTGATGTCTGAAAACGGACTGTAGCATGATCTCTTCATTTTCAAAGCTCAGAAACAAGTTTATTATAAACATTTTCAAAGCTGCTGATGGAGGAAGAATGTCAATTTTTGCATATGTTTCACCCCATCCCCCCAAACCTTTTCCAAATACCACTGGTTTCCAAATGTCAGGACCCAACAATTGGTGCATATATAGTTATAAAATGATCCTTTTAGTTATTGAAAGAGTAATTTTAAGAAACTGAAATGTAAGAAGTGTTGGATTAGCCTTTGTTGGCCTATGAAGTCTTAGATGAGTTTCCTGAGGAAACATCTGGAAACCACTGGTCCCCCCTTTTCTGCTCTTCATCTGACAGTAGTGTTGCTTTCTCCCCAGGTTGTAGGGCTGTTGCTTAGCAGTCAGTATGGCGGTAGTCATCAGGCTACAGGGTCTGCCTATAGTGGCTGGCACCATGGACATCAGACACTTCTTCTCTGGCCTAACCATCCCTGACGGGGGAG